ACGAAGAAAATTAAACTACCTGAGTGTCATATGTCCCAACCCTCTCGGTGGGTATCTGCAGATCATAACCCAAATATGGTCGGCCAGATAAATCCTGAACAAAAACCTCTAATGAAGCATACTTCTTATTTTGGAATACAGTAATTTAAAAAAGAACATATAAACCAATTGACACAATAATTGATTCTACAGCAGCTGAACAACTGTCCCTCCGAAAAAATTAGCATTCTAGTCTCAAGACCCCATCAAGCTTGGCCCTCACACTTTGTCCCTCTTGATAGCACCAAGTTTACTCTCATACATTCATATAAATCTAAAGATAAAGCCTAAGAATTCAACATAAAATTTTCCTTACTGTCAAATATTATTATACATTTATTTTAGTGAAATGGTTGTATTAAACATACCAGTGAGACATGTATCAGTGCTTCATCAAGAGGAGCAGAGAAGTCACCAAACCTGTTGATTCCTTTTCTATCACCAAGTGCTTGAAGCAAAGCCTGCAGACCAAGCAGAATTAGATTATCAAGATGGGCTTCTACAGATTATATGGATTCAAAACAGAAGAAAGATACTGGCGACCCAAAGGAAATATCAAGATGGGCTGCTTTCTAGATTACCGTTCCGATAGCAAGAGCAACATCTTCATTTGTGTGATGATCATCAACGTGGATGTCACCAATGGCCCTTACATGCACGTCCAACAACCCATGTGAAGCAAGTTGCTAAAATACAACAAATACGTAATGGATCATGTTATATACAAAAGCACATGAAACAGAACCATACATCACTAAAACAGCTTCTCTAAGCAGAAAATCAATTTAACTATTTCAAAACAAATCCAAAACAGACCTATCACTGTAAATTGAAGTTACAAGTATAATATCAATGCCTTTCACCAAAGAATGAATTTTAACTACAAATTTCAAAAAGAGCTAAGAGCAAAATAATACTGACATCCAACATATGATCAAGGAAGGGAATCCCAGTACTAGAATCAGCAACTCCAGTGCCGTCCAGGTTTATTTTGACCAAGACATTGGTCTCCTTAGTCACCCTCTTGACCTCCCCAATTCGAACCCCTAAGAGAGTTACAGCCCCAGCAATTAGAATTCAATTTAAATTTCAAAACCCAGAGAAAGGATTGACATTAGGGTTAGGGTTACCTGAGTTACTTGGGGTCGGGGAATCGGTCAGAGTAGAGCCATTGTTTTCGGCCAGAGAGGCACGCGGTGAGAAGCTTCTCTGAGAGTCCATGTGTTTGAGCTTCAAGTGGCGGCTTGGGTTCAGTGAAGAAGGTGATGCGCGTAGAGAAGGAGGGGTGGGTGTGAGATCTGTACGAGAAACCGCGAAGCTAACCCTCGGTTTTAGTGGAGGAGATGAACAGTTAAGAATACCGGGTGGCGCTGCTGCTGATAGCTCCATTTGTGAAAACGGAGGAGGTCGCTCTTTAGAATGCGGACTTTGTACCTGAGGAGTTAATTCACTCTTTTAAAATAGCTTTTGCTCAACTATTTCTTTTGAGATTTTCTATTTAAACCTCGCACTTCTCTTTGTTCACCCCAATACTTAAATAATTAAGCTGTAAGTTTTATTATTGTATAAAAAGACAAAAAAAGTCATCCAACTTAATAATTAACTCTATTACATCTATACACACACCCTCACACACCCCACCACTCTTTATATTAAGTTTTAAAAACCTCCTTCCAACTTTGTTTACAAACTCTC